CACAGGGTAGCCAAGTATTTGTATCTTGTATAACACTTATTTGGCAGCCTTCTGATAGGTCTCCTCAGCCCAGTTGGAAGAGCACACATCCAGCTGGGCCCCAGGAACGGGCAGTGATGATTGCTGGTGAGTGCCAGGGGCCGGTGCTTGCCTGCAGGGCTGGCAATCCTGCAAGTCTCCATCCCTGACCTGTTGGCAATTAGCAGCAGCAGAGGATCATCTGCAGGCAGCTGGGAGAGCCAGGCCTCAAGAGCACTGCTGTAGTCTATCAAGCACTTTTTACCACCACAGACAGCCTATGGATAGAGGTAGGACAAAGGAGAGTGCTAGCAAATTCCTTGACTGATGAACGATCACTGTTATCATGGAAACCAGGAACCCTCCAGCTTCTGCATGTTTGCTGACAACTCCGCACTCCTCCAGCTCCTGCTTAATCTTGGCTGTTCTCCCACCTACTCCACCCATAGCTGACAAGTCTTGTGCAGCTTTATAACCTAATCCCACTAATGTATGAGTCAGGGTGCTGCTTATTAAGAAAAAGAAAGGTGTGTGGTCATACAGACAATTATAGGTATAAGAGAGTGGTAAGGTGGTGCTGAGAACAAGACAGGAGTAGTTATAAAGCTATTGGGCTGTGTAAACATGGAGGTAATTGCTCCTTTCCAAACCAAATTAAACATAAATAATTAAATAACTCAGTAGAAGTAATGAAGTCTCAAATGATCAATGACAATTGCGTTTTGCACTTTCCCAGGACCATCTAGTTCTAAGAAAGGCTAACAGAACTTTAAACTGTAGCTTATTCAAGTGCTGAGTTATAAAACTGGAAACAGGACGCTACTACCCTTTTTTCAGGCAACTTACAATGAATGAGAAAGGAACAGGTTTCTTGACTGAGTGCCTACCAAAAAAGCCAACTGTAACCCAGAACATTTACTGTTAAAATTATGAGTCCATGAAAATCTAAGTTTATAAGAACAAAGTTGTTTACAGACTAGAAATAACAGCATACATCATTATAATGTTGTAACTGCAAATTAAGACAGTGCAGATGGGCATAATTTTCCATTCTTAATATGAGACACAACACCATGTGTCTTTAATATAAATGCAACATATACATTCAGTTAGACTGTTGGTTTATTCTTACATTTCATATTCAAACTTAAGTCATTGTCCAAGAAAAAGCGACTGAACACTAATGCAGTAAAGATGATGATACAAAAACTTGTCATTTAATGTAACCTAACTTCTTATTTGTAGGATCTAAGAAGAATGAAAGGTTTTCTCTATTAATAGTTTCAGTTAATCCTGTATCCAAACATTTTCCCCAATAAACATCAGATTATTTTTATGTTGGCTATAAAGCTGTCACTCCTCAATAAACAGATATACTCCTGGTGGGCTTACCTCTGCTGTCAAAGATCTGTCAATTCATGCACCATCTCATAAGCAAAACCAGAGAAGCTCGGATGCACGGCTCCTTGTGAATCCAGCTGAGCAGAGGTTGCTCACCACCTGAGAGGATTCGCATCGCTGCAGCCCCCGTGCAATTGGCAGCAACTGGATGCTCCCAACACAAGTTCCCAAAAGCCCTGAAGTTAATACTCCTGCCTCCCTTTAATAGAAAGCTATGTGACCTTTAATGCTCTGCTCGACTGAGCCTTCCTTTAGTGAGTCTCAATTAAATTTTATGTTTTGTGGCTCCCATTTTCTTGTAATACAAGAAAAGAGTTCAAGGGATGGATCCTTCTTTGAAGAATTTAATTCCCCATGGAGAAAATTTATTTTCATCTAAAGAGCTGCTCAAAGTTTGGGGGAAGGGAGCTTTTGTAGAGCTTTTTTTTCTGTTTTTGGTGTTTGGTTTTTTTTTTTTTTAATTAAGAAATGTCTAGTATTTTGTGAAAATAAAGGAGTCTCCAGATTCTTTGAAAAGGACAGTGTTGTATTAGTGGCTAGACTGGAGATATTTCCTCTGTCCTTTTCATTATAATGAGGTAAAAAATCAGAGGCATGGTTAAAGAGATCCTGGCCATTAGTTGTCATGAAGAAGCTCTCCATGAAACCATCAGATTGCTACTGTGATATTGTAATAACAAAATGCTGGTTAATTTTCAGTAAGAGACATTGCAGCAAAGGAAACAGTTGCATATCTGTTCGTAAAAATAAGTACTTCCTAGGCTAGTTCTGCATACTTATGTTCATCAACGTAACAAGGTCAAAAAATTAAGGCATTAGGAAGTGTCTTCTCTGAACTGGACTCTGAAATTCTAGCAATATAGTTGCTACTATCGAAAATATAAGTACAAATGAGCATAAGCTCTATTCCCAAATGTAAACATGTCCAGGAGCAGGCCATTAGTAACATTTCTTTTACCACTATGTTCCTTCATTTAATTAGTTTGTTCTGTAGTCAACATAAAATTACATATGTCAGTAGGGAATTCTGAGTGCTGGAGAGAGATGCTTAGACTCTTTATAGTCAGTGTATACTGAATTAGATATTTCAGAAAATGAATCTAAAAATGCCACACACTGATGGGGTTATTTCATATTGCCAGTATGAAATAAACATGGGGCATGAATGAATTTCTTACACCATTCTCCCAGATCTACACACCTGAATCTAAACACCTCATAAATTGTTTTTATTTGCTTGGTATCTAAAAGTGAAGCTCTCTCTTGGTGCTCTCTTCTGCACATTTTTATGGTCACCCAAGGAGGGGGTTATCAAGATTCAAGGTTTCCACTAACTAAAATAGTTCAAAGTCACCTCTCTCACTCCCTCACAACTGTCATAATCACCATGCTCCAGAAACTGGACAACTTGTACAGATGGGAATGCAAGACACATGAAGTCAAAGAGGTTTTTCAGAATTACTTGATTACTCTTTTTATTTTTAGCCAAAATTTAGGACTACATTGTATCTGAGATTCTTCGTGTCTTTTTTCCTTAGTGCTCTAGCCTGACAGAAATTAAGTGTAATCCACCACTAAACTGTGATTTAAATCTATAGTAATTTCATGTAATCATCTTCTCTTCCTGCTTAGAGAGTCTTGCCTATATAAACATTCAAAAATGCTCTGGTTTGGTTCCAGTATTGGGGCACGAGCATTCTACAGGAAAAAAAACACCAACAAAACAACCCAACTATCTTCATCTTTCCTTTCTGAAGTTCATTCACAGATGACAACTGTGCTCAGGCACTTCAATCTTTCTCCACAGTCAGTTTACGTGTGTTAAGTAGCAGCTTGTCTGAACAGTGGCAAAACAGTAACGAAGTCAAATCCACAGAATAAATGGTAGCTGTGTCTCTCAGTAGGATTTGCAAAGCACAACACGTAAACCAATTGAAACACAGAGTATTTGTTTCCTTCTCCCTCTCTCCTGAATAGTAAGAGAGTGTATTTTGTATGGTACATTGTAGAATGCAATGTCCTGCTAGTATTTTATACATGTGGATTGTAAAAATATCCAGTACACAATATAATAACATAGGTAATAAAATAAAACCCTGAAATCAATTAACTTGGAAGCTGTCTCTTGATTTATACTCATTCTCCAGATACATCTACCCATTCTTAATTTTACATTTTGTGACTAGTTCAACAAAATAAAAATACCAGTGAGTTCGGATGAGATAAATAGTATTTTCATGCTCACAGACATAAATATTGAAACTAGTTCTGTACTTAAAATTAGATTGACATAATTGGACGTATTAATATTATCCTATTATGAAAGCGCAGTTTTCTTCTGAGAAGCAATAAAAATTAACATATACTCACCTTAGAAAACCCCAGAAGCCACAAATTATCATTTTTTGTGAAATCTTTTTAGCTTTTATGCTTTTTAATGCCTTGTGGTGATAATGCACAACATTAGTCTTTCATCAAAAATTAATTTACCACTGATAAAGGCAGATGTGACAATTTCCTCTCTCAACACCTTAATGAAACTTTGATACATCTCCCTACTTTAGCAATTCAAACCACCCAGTTCTATATCTAACTTCTTATGTAGTTTAGCTAAACCTCACTACAAGAAACAAAACTGATCTGGTTCTTCATTTTCACTGCTCATCTCACCTCTGTTTTTCAATTACAGCTTGTGGACACACAGATGTGCCTCACTGCACCTCTGCTGCCTCCATACATGGTGTCTATGCCACTATACATAAGAACAATTCCATTTTGATGAATACATGGATTAAAAATGGGTTGCTATTGTATTTACAAAGTTCTTATGGAAAGTCTGCCAGGTCCTCAAAACTGGGATTTACTAATTAGAGTTACCTTGATTAAAGGGTAGCTCCTGAAGGGCTCCTGTGGCTAACAGGTTTAACTTTAAGCATATGATCGGTCCCATTACATTCACCCGCTTTAACTGGGCTGCTCATAAAATTAAGCGTGTATTTAAATGCCTTTCTGGATTGGACCCCAAGTCTCTTAGAGGAGCGCAGGCTTGGAGCAGTGGTACCTTCTGAAGCCACTATGATTCAGATGACTAAGGACCATAAATCATTTTCCATATTCTGTCAAACTGAAAAGCTTTGGAATTTTGCTCACACAAGTCCTGGAAACATTGTCTGACACAGCTAACTGGGAATGCCAGTTCATCAGAGCTTGAAAACAAGTTCTGAAGTTTGCTGAACTGGTAGAGGCTCAGGCTGAGCTAGTTCAGAAAACCAGGATGAGAAGATACAAGAACCTAGATACTGCACCACACCATCCTGCGCTCAGTACTGAACTGTGTTTGCCCCGGTGTCTACACAGCAGTGGATTCTGGTCTTTAAGCATATCCTAATAGCAAAACTTGGTGTTGTGAGTTTAAGTGATGCTAACACTTTTCAAATTGTGCTCGTTATGTAAGACTGCATGTTTGCCAAATTCTGGCAATTGCAAAAAAGGGTGGAATATAAAGAGGATCTAATGTCTGGAAAATGGGTGATTAAAAAAGGTCACATAAAATTGACAATTTTAAAAACATATACTCTTACCCTTCTCGTTGGAAAATAGTCCTAAAACAGTCCCCCAGGCTCTTGTAACCGGTCGGATCAGTTTTCCCTCTTTGAATTTGGAACCTAAAAAAAATACAATTTACATCACAGCATGAGAAGTCAGGGATTTTAAGCCACTTTTAACTTTCCAATTATTATTATAAAAGGAGTGTTAAAGGTTTTTTTACATATCTGATTCATTATTATATACTGTTCCTGATATACTTATTAACACTGTTTTCATAGAAGCTGTTAAACTAAGGAAAAATAGAGCTTTAGTAGTAACTTTTTTTGTAGTTTATGGAACTCACAGTATAGCTATCACCTTTGACATTTACACCTCTTTCTAGTTGTTTGAAAAATAAGCTGTTAACCCTGTGCCTGATCCAAAGACCATTGAAACTAATGGCAGTCTTTGAGTCAAACCCTCTTTTTGAAAATCTGAAATGGAATACTATCATGGGTTTCACTATGACATTAATCCACTGTGCAGTTTCTTTCTTTTTATATCTGACGCAATTACAATAAAAATCAACCAGAGACATGACCAGAAATTACAGCACCATTCATTTTTCATAATTTAATAATAAGATGAACAATTAAAGCAAGCAACGAATTATTTTAATTAAAACCTTGTTTTTTCTATTCACATTTTGACAACAATAAAGATTTCAACAGGAGGCTTGTAGTCTTGAAAGGAAAATCAAGATTATGATTTAAAATTGTAAACATCTTTTTATTTATGAGCAGTGAGTTTAACAAACTATACTATTTTACTATTTTACTAAGAATCTCAGATTACCCTATCTCTTGCAGTTTTGAAAATACAGGCAACACATTCAAGTAAACAGCACGGAGAAATTTTGAATCCATTTTCAGCAATAAAACTTCTTTTTAAACTGATAATTACTACATAGCACTTAAAAAAATAGGATATTGATGTCAGCAATTCTAGTCTAAAATAGCCCCATATCAGGCAACCACTAAGTTGGCTTTATCATTAAGTGCAATAATGATTCTACACAACAAATAGTGTTCAACAGTTTCAAGGAATAACTAACATTATAGTCAAGAATATCATATGCCACAGGTATGTTGCTGTTCTGAGAAACATCTATTCTTACTTATTCTAATCGTGATACTGAATCTCATTAATATGTAACAAACAAAGGTATTTTAAACTCAATGTTACACAGCAATGTTCTCCTCTCTTTCAACAGAATTCGGTAGGGTCAAATCAAGGTTTGTATTGTGGCAAAAGGCATTCATTGTTTTGAACATCAGTAATGTTCACGATGCCATGAACTAAGCCATGTTCCGTTCTAACACATATAACATTTTTATTCACTTTGAGGAAAAAATTTCCAGTGATGTAATACAATTCTTTGGGCAATTATGAAGGCAAACCCACACCTTTTTTGAAAACGGTTAGAAAGAAACACTGAGCCCCTCCATAGTTCTAATAAAAGTAGTTCAGGCACATCTGGGATCTCTATCTGGGGTAACCTCTTTTATTAGCACAAGAACTTGCTGCCAAGTTGGCAGAGAGGAGAATGCTATTCAATAGGCTTACATTCAAATAAGAGCTGATGCATAACATTTTGTCTGAAAAGAACCCTTGGGAAGACTAATAGTTGAAAAAAATGCCTCAATGCCATCACACAAAGTCCAACAGTAATATCAGCTACAGAAACTTTTACACTGTGGCAATCAAGCAATCAAAATTATAACATAAAGCAGATTCTATATACATTTTAATATATTTAAGACTTGATTACTTATACCTCTCAGTCAAAAAAGAAAAATTGCTTTCTTTTGCTTAAAGAAATCTTGCGAAAACTCACTAGGAAATAACTTCTTCCAAGTATTTAAAAAATGAAATTTTCTTAACCCAAACTCTTTTCCTTAAATTTCAAGATTTGGTCTGTTTGTAAACTCAGAACAATGCATCACTGTTTCTTAAAGATCCTCTGAATAATGTGCCTTCCCTCTCTTTCACCCTGCAAACACTCAAGCATGTCCCACTAGCACATGTATAAGGTTCCCCACTAACTCACACACACACAGCCATTTGTAAAACTGGGGCTTTAATCCCAGACTCACTGTGGAACTCCACAACATGGTGAACATACTTATATAATTTTGTTTTACGGTTAACACAGTGTCTACTTCTCAACTAAATTTAAATGATTTTATAAAAATACATCTCTGATAGCAGTACTGAAAATCACAGCAGAAATGCAATAATACCATATATAATTTATGTGTATCAGATGAAGGATAACTTCTTGCTAGAAAAGTTAAATCGAAGAAGGTTTACACTTATTTCAGTTTTTGTTTTAATGCAGATAAGACCTTAGTATTAAATGAGTCCGCTTGTAACACTGAGTCACACAAATAACATATTCCTTCCTTTAGGGTTTTTGGATCCATTCCTTCCCTAGTAAATCTTTTTTATAGTTTTAACAGCGATCCTAAAATAAATGCCAATTATGTGCTTCAACCTAGATCTGCGACTTGGGTTCTTTGATTCAGAATTGCTTGCCTCAATAAAATAATTTGTAACTTTTTTAATGAACTAGCTAATTGATCACCACCACTTGTTATAAGAAGCTCAGTGAAGAGCTGAAAAAATATTTGTTCTTTTTTCTGGAGGCAGCAGCAGCCTGTATGAGTAATCTTAATAATACAGACGAGTGAAAGCATTCACTTCAAAAAACAACCTGGCCTGTTTTTAATGATTGTTTAGAGGAATGAACACAACCGGGGATATATAATGGCTTTCTCTGCTTCAAATCCATTCCTTTCTAAAAGCATTATAAAACCACTGAATTTCATGCATTTTTGAAAGCTGGATGCCTGCCTTGTATGTTACTAGCTTTGCTAGAACAAAAAAAAAGATAAGTCCTCCTATAAATATAATCAGAGCACTAACTTCTGAACTAATTTATTATTTTGATGTCTGAAAAGAAGAATGTGCAGGCAGCGTTCAGAGACTTGTTGAATGGATATTTAGGCAGAGAGGCTTTCCCAGGACTGGGATGAATGACCTGCTCCTCACTACTTGTGTACAACAAGCCACTGGACACTCCAATGCATTACGTATTTATCAAGAGGTTTAACACTCTAAAAATGACCATCAGGTTAACTTTCTTTCCCTCTCATTTTCTTGCCTCTTGGATTTCTGGCCAAAATGCTGTGGTATCGAGCACTCTGACCCTGGGAACACTTACAGAGCTGTGGGAGGCACTCTGGCCCTCAGGTTGTCTCTTCCTACCTGGGACCATCCCTGGCACCCGCCTACTGCCTGCCCTCTTGGCTTCTCCTTGCAGTTCCCACCTCCAGCTCCCGCACCATGAGGGACCTCACAAACTCCCTTTCTGGGTCATAGTAGCAGGACTTGACCTTTTATGCCTCCTTTGACTGAACAGTACCTCTGCAGAAGCTTTGTTTGATACAAACATGTCCTGATATTGTCTAAGAAGAGAACATCAGTGTCCTTCACCATTCATCCCAGATCATGGTTGGGATCTCAAAAAGTGGAAATCATGTAAAACCAATTGAGGTTTTGGGGTCTGTTCAAAAGGCAATAACTTCATTGAAAACTCTGCATGATTTAGACGCATGAAAATATTTTAACTTATCCACACTAATCAGCACCACAACTACTACTTGTGAAATGAATAAACCTAAATTATTACTTTGATAGCACAAAAGAGAGTATTTTTTATGGTTATAACAGTCCTTGATCAATAACTGTCAACAGGCTCAGCCTGAAATCCCACAATGCAGAAGAAGCTTGAGTCCTTTCATCAGTTCTCTGAACCACTTACCATTTAACAAGTGACGTATGATATTGTGGAGCAATGACTCTCAATAAACACACATATCTCTTTCCAATGCCTAACTTACAGTTCTTGTTGGTTTTATAATAGCCAGTATTTTATTCTGAGTTTTATAAAATCCTCAGTCCACAAGATGCTTTCTTTCCCCTCTTCCTATTGAAAAAGTCCTCTAAGTAGTCTTTTCTAACACAATCAATATCTATAGGAGAACAAGCAGATGTGTGCGTTTTCTGAAATTTTTTTTTCTCTCTCCCTCTGTCAGTTGCTAAATTTTTTGTTAATGCTTGCTGAACATCTCATCAAAATTGTCTTGTGGCTGCCTGGCATTACAGTATCCAGGTATTTAATGTTTAAATTCTGTTCACCACAATGTTACCTAGCAATCCACCCCTTTTATTTATTATCTGGACTGCAGCAAGATTTCCAATTCATGCTGAAATTGTTTCAGTTGTCTTAAAATCTAGACAGAAGAAGTCAGTATTTTCATATCTAGATACAAGTAGATAGTCAGCAGTTAAATCCCAGCTATGTAGGTCAACCACAATGTGATGTGGAGCAGACTAGACTCACCAAATTCTTGCCACTGGGTTTGCAAAGGCTATACTCTCATGCGTAAATTCCAGAATTTCTTTCTGCTTTTATACAATGCTGCTGACTAGTTCCTCAACCACAAAGTTCAGAGGGAAAGAAAAACAGTGACTCAGAGAACCAGGCTTTATACCATGTTGCAGTGCTTGCCAACGAGTGGCAGTCTTAGCTGTATTTTCCTTCTCTTCACATGTCTTGCTAGGATTTTGTCAAGTTTTGACTTTGTTTTTACTCTGTTTTGAATAAAGCTCCTAACATTTCCCTTCATGATTGAGACTTATGCAGTACCAAAGCAAATAATCTCAGCTACTGAGGTGTTCAGATGCTATAAAGAAAAGAATGTTATATGGCATAACAACAAAACAAATTAATGTGCAATGTTAAATTTAAAACAACTTTTAAATAAATTTATAGTCTTTGGAAAACTGAAAGCAAATTTTATTGCTTTTTTCCACTTTCAATAATTCCCATGATTCCAGAAACTTCTAGCTCTGGTTACCCCTACCAGCATAAGTTAATAAAAAATGTATAGTCTGAAACTTTAGACAAATATACATTATTTAACAGTTCACACACTTATAATAAAAAATAACTGCATTATAATTTAAATAGATTTTGATTTGCTAACTTAAACATTTATTCAGGTGTTAC